CTGCGACTGCGAGGGAGCGTATCAAATAACAACTGTGCGACACTTCCAAAAAACTCACCTCACACCAGCATATTTTTCTGGACCCGCACAGGTGATTTCGGGCTGGAACGGCAGGAAGGTACGTATCCGATTTGTGACCAAATATCGAACAAACCAATCGAAATCGTCGTCGCATATCAATGGGTTTCCTTAATAGTATATCTATAACATTGGAGGACCACGAAAATTCACCGACTGTAACATCCTCAACAAGGGGTGATTAGCAAAGCACGAAACCCTCATCCCCCCACCTTACAAACTCCGCCCCCGCAATCGATATCGCCAAAGAAGGAAATTAGTACATAATAATGACATGAGTGAAAGTCAAGACTGGTGCAAAACTGGGAAAAAATCGAATCGCATCGACAACTCGTTCTTGCATCGTTCAAATAACCTCCCATAGTCATTCCGAACCACTGAGGCATGGATCAGAACGGGTGACGTCTGCTTGGTTTTGAACCACATCGCTCTCCGAGCGCTTCAGGTGTTTCGAAAAGTCTACTCTAGCCTGCTAGCAAAATCAGCTAATCAATATCTACCCTTTCTTTTCACAGAATCCCCCTCTCCCACCCCTATCCTGCTCGCGAAACCTGAACAATGCTTAACAGCTCCCCAGGTAAAGTAGGCATTCCGCCAAGGAATTCAAAGAGAAAGAGAGAGAAACCATACCATCCAGAAGAAGGTTAGCTATTTTCGTGTCGAATGTCCCTTCTTCAAAACCAGTCAGCTGATTATTGGATAAATCCAACCAAAACAACTTCGTCTGATGTGAGAAGGTTCTCTAAAAAATGGAGTAATCAATTCACCCTCATCGGCTATTCCTCAAACCCACAAAAACCTACCTTGGCGATTTTCGACAAGCTATTGTGCGCTAAATCCAAAGTTGTCAAGAAACGTAGTGAAGCGAATGTGTACTCATCGATTGACGTCAAGGAATTATTGCGAAGGTTCAGTTGTTGTTTCGCATTCCGTCCTAACATTCCTCTTTCTAGAACAACTCGAAATTACTTGCTGCAGACCACGTGCATAAATATCCCGACAGAATACTTCTTTACAAAATTCCACTTGAATTTTGAATTCATTCACTAGTAAGATTGATTTGCATTTCCGGACTCACAATCAAATCCTCGCCGAAAAATATCTAAGTAGTGCAGATATTAACCGGGCGGAAGCGGTGTAAGTGGCATGTGGCCACACTTACCACGCATCGGTCGCGGATCAAAATACTGGTCTTGGTCGGCCGGATAAAAACACTGACTTGTACATCGGCTGGCCCCCGCAAGTCATTGTATAGGCCACATCGCATTCAAACGCCACTACGAATGTACAAATGGAAGTAGAATGCGTGCCGCATCCCAAAAAGGGATTGATCAACGGCAAATGCTTTATCCTTTTTTCTTTAATGCAACTCATGCTTAGATTTTTGCCTACTTTAAAAGCGATATTTTTGAAAAAACATGAAAATAGAAGGAAACCTTGGCGTAATGCCATGGAATCTGGAGATTGCAGATCAAAAAGAGCAAAGTGGACAGCAGTTAACGTTACTTGCAATTTTTAGACTTTTCTGAGGATGCCAATCATGTCTTGGAGTCCCTTTGATGTTTTCCCCAGGCACACAAAAAAATAAAATAAATAGTTGGTTAGGTACTGTAGCTAGCGCCCTTCTGCGCATTACGCACTCGTGCAGTTTGGGTTGCACTCAAAAAATTAAGTAACTCATAATTTTGAACACTTTTACCCTCCCCTTCAAAAAGCCAGAAAGTGTCGGTGCAGACCATACACCACAAGTGACGACGGCCTCCAGAAAATGCAAATGTTTTTTGCCAATGAAATGATTAACCTGTTACAGTTGTATTCGATCAGTTGACAGTAATTACAACTATCATTTACTAAAAATCAGCTATCACTATGAACCACTACTAACCAGATTTACTTGGAGGCCGTCGTCACTTGTGGTGTATGGTCTGCACCGCACAATTTCTGGCTTTTTGAAGGGGAGGGTACTGCCACCTTGAATTTCCCTTCGAGTGTAGCCCCTTATTCCGCCACAGCCTCCTCACTTCAGGATAAAACTTCACAGTTTAATCCTGTCGAACCCTACTTCCGAAGGAAAGGTTGCAGTGGAAAGACGGAGACCCTTAAAACCTGCCACCCTCGCCCTTGGTGTTCACACTTCTCTTCAGCAGATAGCGCCAGGAAAAGGACCAAATGGAGCTGATGAGGACCAACACTCTGTCGCCCACGAGTGCGCAAACCTACGCAAACCTATCACTACCCTCGAGAAAACTGGTATTATTCCAGACAGTATAAACAGAGTAAAGCACTCAAAATCCTCAATTCGAATCCGAAAGTTCATACCAATAGTCTGTATCGAATTGTTCGACAGCAGCAAAACCATCAACTGATCCAACGAATCGAAACTGTTTCTAGCGACTTGGACGATGTTGTTATTCTAGAAGACAGAATATTCGTTCCAACCTCTTAGAATATTCGTTCCAAGCTCTTATAACTATTGAGATAAGCCAAAAATCAGACAAAAATGCGAACCTGTATGCTGATCAATTGAAGGTTCGGATTGTTGGAGAAAGCAAGTGTCTCGATTTTCTCGATCAAATTACCGTCCAAACGAACTTGTTTCAGACTAGTCAGATCTTTCAACTCCGGCAACTGAAACAGCAGAAAACCTCATTTTCACCGAATAGGTATCACCAATCAAGGAAACAAGAAACGGAGTAGAGGTAGAAAGCGCCACGCTGCTAACAAGAAGGTGGGATAGACAGGCCAATTTCTGTCTTCAAACTCAGCCCTGGAAAAGAAAAGAAACTCTTGAGTGGGGGAGCAATCTTATTTTCCTTGAAGCCGGGTGAGCATATTACTGGGGACGACGAAGTAATATCCAAAACCGATGGGCCCATTCGATTTGAGAACACCAGCGGTGGTACTAATCAGACGATACAAAGATCGAAACAATTCCTTCAGTATTCAGTGGCTGGCTATTCTTTCGTAGTCTTTTCAAAGTCCAGAACAAAAACAAAGAATGAAAAGAACACAGACTGGAACTACGTTCAGCCCTCTGTATTCGCTATGTTCGCTCAAATTCAATTCATTCACCGTCACAATGGCGGACCTTAGTAAGAGTGCAGTGCATGGCGTAAACCAGCCTACCTTTTGTAGAAGGTTGTTGGTGACATCGAGTATTTCGAGACGATGGAAAGCCTGCAAACGATTCCCGTCCAGAACTTCCAATTAGATTGTCCCTCATGTAGAGATATTGCAGCTGTGGAACATTCATAAACGCCATCGGGTGTATCTCACGAAGCCGATTGTTCTGTAGACGAAGTTCCTTCAACTGGGGTAGATTCATCAGCTCGAAATTGTTGATCTGAAAAGAAAGCATCTTGACACCTCATCCTTTTGAATCAGAAAATGTGTGGATGTGGACAGGACATCGAAGTGATAGAAAAAGCAGCGTTAAAGACGATGAACGCGATGCAAAGGGTGGAGCGGTTTTGATGACGTCATTGGCGGACTTAGACCCTCAGTGCGTTGGGGGTGTGATTGGGACCATTGTCAACAGTCCGTTCGCAGCATTCGAACGAGGGGGTCACATTTGTGATTTTTAGGGGGGTGGGGGGGGCGAGCGGAATGTCGAATTCGTGGTAGAGTGCATCATAAACAAAAAGGGGATGTATGTTGACCATTCATTGGACGAGTTTGGTGGAAGTTTTAAGAAAGGAGAACTGTAGACTACATGTGGGAGAATTTAGCCTATCCATTTATTTCAGTTTACCCCCAAAGTAAGGAGGAGTAGTGGGTGGTGTGGCATCTAAGGCACTCACAGCGGGGAGAGGGGTTCGCAAACCTTTTGGAAAAGCGCAAACGCGACAGTTCACCCTGGTTGGGGCCACCTCCCAACGCTCCTCCACTAATGATGCCCAATGACCTCATGAGAAACTTTCCACTCTTTAGCCATAATTATAACTACCTCTAAAATCTGAAAATCACGTTACTCAAGCGAAATAGCCGATCCAATCTACGAGATAATTTTTGAAAAGCTTCGTAGTAAAACCTTAAAAAGTAACAGTTAAAAATAATCAATAGGTAAAAATTTCTCTACCTCTGAGATTTTGTTGTCGGACAGATCGAGATACATCAACTTGACACTATTTCGCAGACTTTGTGCCGGTATCGTTGCAAAACAGTTGCCGCTGAGATCAAGCAGCTCGAGTTTCTGCTTAACTTCCGACAATGAATTCCTAAAGCAGGCATATTCCATTAAAATCTGAACATATCGACACAAAGAACTACCTGAATAAATGGCCTGCGTGTGATGCGCCGTATTACTTTTCACTCGAATTTTTGTCTTTTAAATAAAGGATAAAGGATAAAGCATTTGCCGTTGATCAATCCCGTTTTGGGATGCGGCACGCATTCTACTTCCATTTGTACATTCGCAGTGGCATTTGAATGCGATGTGGCCTATACAATGACTTGCGGGGGCCAGCCGATGTTCAAGTCAGTGTTTTTATCCTCCCAGACAAGTCTGGTACCAATTAACCGACCCCGGAGGGATGGAAGGCTTGGTTGGCCCGGGCGACTCACGACCCAGGATTTGATCCCCGGACCGCTCGCGTGGTAAGCGCCACTTGTCACTACACCACTTCCGCCCTACCATTACAATTACTCGCAAACCGCCCGTGATGAGCGAATATCATTAATCGGTAATTGTTTAGAGACGTGTCTTCCAGGTAGGTCAGCAATTCATTTACTACACTGACGTCCTGTTTGGGCAACAACAAGTTACTGTAACTATTGCAGTACTTCTCAGGTACAGGACTATGTACCGCTTTACTTCCCAATTTCAAGAAGTGAGACATAATTTGTATTAGAATTTAGGCAATAGTAGGATCTGGCCTAAAACAACTGTCTCCGCGGACATTGTACTCGTAGAACACGAATAGCATGACCAGCCAACTAAGCGCACATTGGCATAGCACCGTGCCACAGTTGCCGACGCTAATACATCAGTTCTGTACGGTATCCTGTAGTGCTCGGTAAAACTTCAGTACGTAGCCAATCTATATGGTATTTATGTGTAGTGCGTTTTGAACTTGCTCAGGACAGCAAAGTTCCCAGAAAAGTTTGTGATCCAAGGTTGTTCTGGTGACGGTCAGTGGCAGGCACCTGTGGGCGCGAGCTGACCGACGTTTCGCGGCAATGTGACGTATGTTTTCTACAGATCATTGGGGAACTAGATACTCCGGAAGACAACTTTAAGCCAGCAATTCACAGTCATGGGCAAAATTTCGTATGAAAACCGCTCGGATTTGGATTGGCGGCGGAAACGGTGGAATAGTGCTTAGAGTAATCTTTCTAGGCAGCTATCTCATAAGAGCGACGCTGAGAAATGATGCTCCGGTCCATTTGTGATTACCACATTTGGGCTCAGCCGAGGTAATTGCGGCCCGAGGCACTCCGAGACTACCGTTCAAAGTAGCCAGTTAACAAGTTAACAACGACTTCTTAATTTGCCATCACACTACTCAAACTACAACGATTTTGTGAGGGAGCTAATCAGATCTTTGAGAATTGAGGAGAAATTTGAACCACTATTCGATTACAATTCAGTTGGAACGCCTAACTATATATGTATTAATATTAGTAGGACAGCCAAGTTACGAGGAGGGTCTTAATAGCTAAAGCTTCCATAAAACGAAAAAGGTCTAAACTCACGTTGATAATGAACAGATCTCATTATTTTCTATCCGAAGCAGTCGTAGTTGTGACAGTCCCTCGAATGCCCCTTCAGGAATATCTTTCAGCTGCAATTATTACCAATCGTGCATTGCTTTCATTTTCACTTTGAAGGAACTTTAGGAAAGAAGCAAAAAATCAAGGAAATTGATTTTTTATGCTTCGAAAAGCAGGTAGCAATAGCGCCGCTCGCAGTCCTTGCCTTTCATTTCAATGATCAACTCTGGTTGGGATGGTTCAGTGGCGGAAAGTGCCGCTGTCGTTTGCATAGTCCTTTGATCGACCCCATCTAAGTTAGCCAAATCTTCCACAAGGGTCGGACAAACATCAAAGGACGAAACACTGGATTTAACCTTAACGCCCTGCACATTTTCATTTTGTAGATGAAATGCATTTGGAAACCAATCCACGAATCCAAACTATTGTGGACTAAAAAGCGTGGCGCGATCTCAGCAAAGTGGTCAACTAGAAAAGAAACTTTCCGCCTTAGTGAAGAAAGTACGCATTTATGGAAAGAAGAGTTAAAAACACACCTTATTTCCATACAAGTTCAACGATATTAGTTTGGACATGTTTCCAAAGAGCGGAACATTTGTTAGACTGTTGTTCGTTAAGCTCAACTCTTCCAGCGACGATTCGACACTTCGAAACACCTGAAATGCTCTATGTGAGTTTCTTAAGAGTTTCACGAGCCAGTTTCAATAAGAGAGCTCGAGAGCTCGCATGACAGGAAGAATATGGTAGTTCGCTCATCTCATTGGGGACACATTCAAGTGAAAGAGCCAATTCCTTTTTTCACTTTATTTTTTTACTGTTTTTTACTTACTATTATTACTGTGCTTGGGACTGAGCCTCAGTTAAGGGAAGGGTTCCGGGAAGGATGTGAGCAAATTGTGCTTTTCCTGGCGCTTCTCCCCTCTACTAGGCTTGGTCCTAGTGTCACCTACCATCGACGTTTTGGAATGTCCCCCCCCCCTTCTAGAGACGTGAGTACTTGCGCTAGCTCTCGTAGTTAAGAAACTAATGTATGGTGCATTCTTCGAAATGAGCCGTACAATTACTGACCACAATTAAAAAGTAATAAACAGGTAAACAAAGAAAACACTAGAACTTCTCTTGAAATTACAACAAACGATTTTCCAAGTTCCGGAGACTGTGCCAGAAGCACTAAGAACATGAAGATATCACGATCAGTCAAGAAGTTACGAAATATAATTGGAAGCTGAGCTATCATAGAAGTTACAGCCTATGTAGGTCCTAAAATTACACCCATAATACTCACACCCTTGTGAGAGCACGAAGACCATTCGCTGTGTTTGCCAGCATCTGATCTTTCAAGAATCTACGGTGGATAATTAACTCACTCTGTCTGTGAGGACGAACAACCTAGCCTGCCGAGTATTGGTGAGAGCCACGGCGGCAGACTTGCCGTCGTGAGTTTTTAAGTTATTCTTAGAACTTTAGCTGCCCGCTATTGACCTCACATTGTGCGAGATTCCTATTTGATTTTGTTCCATTGGATTCCTTAGGCGAGGTTGGTGGTATTCATACTAAGCTGGAGAGCCCAATCCCGCCCTGCAGTGTATGGCCCGAGCCACAGATCCCGCTCCCTCCATCCCTCCCCTGCCCTCCTATTCCTGCTATTGCCACATTGTGCAACATTACGAGTGCATAGTAAATAAATAAATAAATAAATAAATAAATAAATAAATAAATAAATAAATAAATAAATAAATAAATAAATAAATAAATAAATAAATCTCAAAGCAAATTCCTCAACTTCACGAGTGCTGGCAGAAGCCTTGGCCTCTCACCTTTTTTAACGCCATAGCTATAGCAGCAACTGTGCTTTATGTCTGCCTGGCTCATGTGAAAGATGAGCAAGAATACTGACATATTACTGGTTCTCACAATAATATTACGATTCCGATGCATGGCTCATCAAGGACGATCAATCAATTAGTGAAATATCTCACACCCTTTACTCTACATGGCCAGGTTGCCGGCTGCCAGCTCTTACAAGATACGGTAGCTATTACAAAGTAATCTAAGGGCAGGCATAAAAAAACTGTTCGAATGCTCTGACTACTTGACGCAGAAAAAAAGCTAATCTTCTAGGAACGACCCAGTTTACTCGGAATTATTCCTCCTCACATGATTCTACTCTAGTTTTTAAATATAACGTGTGCGTCCACGGGGCCCGCTAATTTGCTTAATAATTACCCAATTTTTAGCCAAATGTGAGTGGTTTGGCAGACAAACAGGTCAACTGCCCTCAGCAACACCGAAACCACTTCAAAACTCCAATTTATTTGGTGCCATCGTGACACGTATCCCAGCAAAACCAATACCAGGCATGGCTGCAGTCCACAGATTATTAGGTTACCCATTTTTTGATGGCTCATAATCGGGTTCGTGCCTGTTTTTGTCCCCCCAGACAAATCCTGTAGCGGTTCACCGTTCAGACGGATCACATCATAACACAATCCAGTCACCCATGGTGGACTCAAAGATCACGAGTCCTGATACTGAAGCCGTCCGGGATCACAAAGATTGGAGCGAGACAGCGTGTGGAGGGAGGTTTGCTTTCTGAATGGTGGCTTCCTCAAACTCTGCAGAATTAAAGATTCCACGGCGATTATGAGGAGACATGATGCCCGCTCGCGGACATGTCACGCTGCGCAGTCCTCAATTGCATCCCTCCCAGGGTCGGTGCCACTGGCAATTCTTCAACAATTAAGTGCAGATCTGGACCGGCAGGCTCCCTAAATCACTGCTTAGGCCAAATGGGCATTCAAGTGTCTCAACAATTCTGAGTGGAAGTTAAAGGTCTGGCATCACACACGAGGCTACCACACCTCATACCTTCGAAGTTTGGGCTAGAGCGGGCACTTACGAAGGACCAGGAATGAGAACTACTGCTATCATCACCCACTTAGCTCATCCCTATTTCCTATAGATCAACTTTTTGATCCAGTGGGCACAGATAAAGGTAGCCGTGGCTAAGAACGAGTTTGGAGGAGGTCCCCTCAGCAAAACCTAGCGTTCTATTTTTCAAGTTCAACCCCCACCTTGACATTCGATTAAAATGTGTATCAGCCCGGGAAAGGGATGACCCTAAACACTAGCCTTCACCCTGTTCATCAACAGTTTCTAATCCGATTGCCAATTTCGCAATTTCTGTTTACCGTCTCAATTCGAGCAAAAGGGCCACACGATTGACAATTGATGATCCCGTCACTGATTTCACTGATATCATTGTCGCCATTTGTCGCCACACCGCCACACGTCGTTCCAGCGACCTACATTCCGACCGAAATCATACCGCCCTCAACGCTGTTGTTGCCACCTTTAACAACACGCAATCGATGCTGTATTAGTAGGCCGAATCGCGACGAGTGGAAAAGCGATCGTAAACTCGACGATGGTCAACGGCCGGAAACAGTATGTTCACCACAAAACGCTCATTTCGAAACTGATCTGCCTCCAGGAGTAAAACACTTCTATGGCTATCCAAACATTCGAGGAAACAATGGTTTTGAAAAGAAAATGAGTAACCTTTCCCATGGATTGAAACCCTTGACCCTATACCCTATGGCCTCCTGCCTTGCCGCATTATTTTAGGGAACTGTAAGGCTGGTAGTCTTCTTCTTCTCCCTAGCGTTAGTCCCGCGCAGTCGCAGGGTCCGCTGTCTTTGTCAGTCGTCGCCACTTTGCTCTGTCCAGGGCATCTTCTGCCGTGGCCGTGAGCTCACTTAGGTCCTTCTTGATTACCGTAAGGCTGGTATTAGGAAAAATAATCGCAAATTTGCCCGCGCCAACGGAAGCAAACTGGAGCTGGAGGTTCGGTTCGGATTTCTGGCAACAGCCCAAGCACATCCCCAGCCGGTTGTGAACATTTACAGCGCTAGATAATGCGCTTTATGGTATGGGTACCAGTACCAAGCACTACCAAGTGTGCTGAGGTATCCGCTATGACGAATTAATAATATTATTAATTATAATTAAGAGTTAATCAGGTGGAGTTAGGGACCACATATAATGAACCTTTTCTAGTTCCAAGGAATGTTAAAAGGTGCATAGTTCAGATTTTTTTCTATAATTTCTGATGAATTTTTGGAAACCCTCTCGATTTCGACTGTATCAGCATTATTTCGTTCTATAATTGTAACTTTCCATGAAAGCTGCTCTAAAGAGTTTTTTTAGGAGCTATGTAGCGGTAGGAAAGCTAGTTCGGAAAAAGTATAAACAGAAAATGTTTTGGGTACTTGACCGTGACTGGTTCTGTGTGTATGTTTCACTACGGTATTAGCCGATCAATTCAAAAGATGATGTGCAGTTGTATCAACCCAAACAATCGTTATAACACATCCACGAGAATAAAATGTAGGAAAAAAAGCAAAGAAAGAGAAACGGGGCAAAAGAAAGTTCTTTAAGCTTCCTGCTACCTTTTCCACTGGACTAATGGTAAGGTTCTTCTTTCTAGAAACCGAATTATGGATGAGTAGGCCGCTATCATTTGAAATTGGCCACAAAGACGAAAAGACCCCAAACTGTAAATGGAGCTCTCGAGCGGAGTGGATCCACATAGACGGGTGAGGGTTGGAAGGTAAGGTACGAGGGTAGGCGTTTGGCTCACCTATAGTAACTCCTTCGTCTGCCGTTATGTCAATACTTTCCATCTAATCAACCTGCTCCTACTTTAGGCTTTGACCAGGAAGGTTGTTTTCGACCTCACCATTCTTCCCTACGGTGTGAGTCTCACAACAGACGCTTGACCCTCGCAGGAGAGGTCGAAAGTGCGGGCGGTTTTCCTCATGTAATCGGGGCGACTTTACGGAAACAGCTGTGTCTGAGACAGCGCGACGACACCCGGTGACCCAATTTCGCAATAAATCACCCAGTGAAAAACTTTGAAAAAATGAACAAAGCGATAAGAAGTTATCTATTAAAGAGAACCGGAACACTCTAATTGTTTCGATTCCAATCCCATGTCGACATTCCTTTTGCAAAAACTCGGTCAACAAACCTTCGGGTCAATTGTGGCGATTTGACAGTTGGTCAACGCCAACGAACGAATCGAGGCTTTCGGTAGCACGTCCAACACTGGTTGTGCACATCTGGAGACCCGTAATCGCTCGATACTTGTCGTGCCGATATCCTGAAACGATCAACGATTGTTGGTGAAGATTTCCGGAGATTTACAATCAGATACCACCCGCCAATGTGGCGAAAATGAAACCAACTTGAACTACACAAACCTGGAGGTTTTGGAATCACCGGGAAACCGGGTTGAACTGTGATTCTATGGCATTACATTCAAGAATGAATAATCGTTTTTCACTAGGAATATCAAAAAGGGCTGAACTGCGCTTCTGTACAGGTTCAGTCCTCTGTTGAAAAGTCCTCAATAGTATAAAGGGATATCGTACTCGGTCAAAATGGCACTGTATTCTTGAAAGATGTGGGAAGCAAAATTTTTCTGGGAAGGGAGTTTACAAAATTCGAAAGAATGTTGCTTTGAACTGCGCAATTTTTGCCGTTTCAGCAGTTATCTGCCCCCTCCAACTACTCATACAGATTCCGCCAAGGAATTTTGAAACATGGGAAATAAGCTTAAGGGCAGTTCTCAGGTAAGACCACTGATCAGGAAAGGCATTCAACTTCCCATGGAACTTTGAATTGAAACGCAGGCATATCGATGGGGCTTCGAACGCTGATTACAAATATGGAAACTGAAACTGCAAAATGAACCTGCCAAGGAAGTTGTGAGCAGTCAAAGTTAGGCTGAAAGTGAAGCGCTAGGTTAAAGTTGCTTTGCCTGCATCATGGTCGCCGTGGAGTAGTGATAGTGCTCCCGAAGTTTGTCCTCCAACGGAAAGAGAACTTGTGACCTCCCGGGTGAGAAGCACTCAAGCGGACTCAATTCAAAGTTCCATGGAAAGTTCAATGCCTTCCTGGTGAGAGGTCGAGATGTGGAATCGCATGATCACGTTCTTCAGAAGGGTTGCGGAACCTCACAAGTCTGCCTAACACGATGGAACGACTGCCTTCTGGCAGAATCACCTACACGTAAATGGATAGTAAGACGTAAATTTATCGAAAAATCTATTGGGAAGCCCCACAGCGCCACGTATGCCAAGTTTCGTTCATATTTGAGAGTTCACCAGCTCGGTCGAGAAGCTATCCCCAGACACAATGATTCGATTTAGCACTAGCCAGTTTAAACAGGCTCGTTGAGCTCCACATGATTCAAAGTTAGCACTGGCCTAAGTTCGCACAACTGATTTTCATGGTTAGAAGCACTTCCTGTCGAACTACGATACATTCCAATTGCTTTCGATAGATGCGCATTTGTGACATTAGCGCTAAACCTTCAAGAATCGATTCCTTCTTATTTCGATCACGACAATCAGACAACACAATTAGGTTTTACACGCATTTTTCTTTAAATTAATGTTATTAAGATCTCGCAGTAACATACGGTCCCATAAGTTCAATTTGCTAGTTTTCTACATCTTCACATAAGAATTTCTTTACTTGTCGTCTTCACTTCTTTGTCGTCTTTACTACCATCGTTGAATTTGCGAAATCAAACCGGAAATAAAAAAAACCTTTGGTAACCTTAGGCCTCTTTTCGAACTCAATAAATGACGGCAATATCATACTTATATTGCTGTTATTAGGGAAAACTAGCAGTCTACTACTCTATCCCTTTGGATCGGATAAATGACGTTTCTTTACATGAGGAAATGAAAACACTGGTGAAACTACATGCTCACAAGAATACTGGGTTATGAACAAAACTTTCACCCTGGGGCACAGGACTCCAACCCTAACCTCTCCCTTACCGGGCAAGTGCACTACATGCTACCCTGGGGGGGGGGGGCTACGTGTCCACCCTAACTGGTGAAAACATTGACAGTCAAGCCGTTTTATACGCCCCTGTCAAACACCTTCACAATCGAAGAAGTAAGCCACAGACAATGGCGCATTCGAAAAAAAAGGCCAGCCCCCGCCAACAGACTTCTTTTTACTCTTCTTTAGGACTTAGCAATATGCATGTATTACTCACAAATAACCAGTTGTTGGCCCACGGGACAAGCCGGCCAGGGGTGAATACCAAGCCCATCAAACCAGTCCCGTTATAAAAATGGCTGTCAAAGTACGCTAATACGATAGACCTATAGCAATCACCACCGTACCCTCCCCCACCCCTCCCTAAAACTGACTTCTGGTAGATATTCGCATGGCGGCGGGTTAAAGAAAGAGAGAAAGGTGCCGAGCACTCGTAGTGGTCGCTCACAAATTCATACACCCAGACTACAAAAAGCCACCAGAAGACAATCGCCCTACGGAAATGGTACACTCGTTTTTCAAGTCACCCACACTGTTACAGATGTTCATCTCGTAACTTTGTAAAGTTTACATGGCACGTTGGAAAGACTTCACCAGAAGCAGAAGTCAAGGGCGCGCAATATCAAAGGATGTGAATAATTGCTCGGTCTACCACAACTGGCTAATAGGAATAGTAAAAGACAATAGATATCAGTGCATGAGCTGCAGGACCACCATTACACTTTCCCTGCGCCAAACTGGTGTTGGCCACATTTTTTCTATGCAGGACCACTTTCCACTGGGATGGTCATATATGAAAAAACGTTGGTGATCCGGTCGATTCTGGCTTAGCTGATCAGAATCCCAGAGCCCTTCGCCAAATCCAGCGCGACTGGTGGATGACTCGCCGCGACCCATTAAATAACTGGATCCGACCCTTCAACCGCCTACCGCCTGTGAATTGACAGCCATTGAAAGCGAACGCAACCCTAATTAAAGGTATCCTTTCACAAGTACGAATTTTCACATGTAAAAATAAACCAAAAATAAAATAGGCGGAATTCAGCTCACCTTGAAAAGGCTGGGTAGATGAGCGCCATCACAAGTGATCGAGAATCGACCGGTGGCCTCCTTGTTACAGACACAAGTCGACGGAAGCGTTGGACAGTCATCGGCAGCCGCTGAGCTGGACGAGATGGTCAGGAGGAGGATTGTGAGGAAGTGCAGGTGAATAAGCCGGGACATTGCCCGGCAGCAGGTTAGTGAAGGTAAGACGAGCAGCGTTCCACACAAGAGAAATCGAAATAGAGAAGTGACCAAAAAACCACCCGACTAAACCAAAAGACAAAATCACCAACCCGCCAAACAAGAAACATCACTCGCAAACACAAAACAACACAAACACAAAAAAACCGCGAGCAGCATATTATATGACCTACAGCACGAGAAGCAACAACCCAAAGCCCATCACAGAAAATAATCTGGGTATTTATATGGTTTTTCTTGCTGGATGACACCATTCCCTAGAAAACTGGAAAAATCTGTACAAAAATTCCGGGCTCGAAGATGGGACAGGGGTGCTAACTTAGTTGGTTGGGCGGGACTACGTGGCGGCGCGACTCTCTACTTTGTCTGCACTCTGAGGCTTTATTGTTAGTCCCAGAACCGTTACATTTAGCCGATTGTAGCAGATTCGAAAAGCGGCCGCTGGTCTCCTCCCCGCACTAAGTTACAACCTGGGATAAAGAGCATTAATTTGGGCGGTCCGACAGAAATTAGGAGCGGAAATTACTGAATCAGGCTGCTATATATTTTGTTCAGCTAGTCAAAAACGGAAAGTTTGGCAAATGAGGCAAATCCGAGCGGAAGAATCAATCCTAAACTTGTCAGTAGCAGGAGCTAGTGCTCCGCATTGGAGAATTCTTCGACCTCTCAAGTAAGACGAGAAGCTCGAAACGTAACGCCAGTAAAGATTCCGGGGATGAGGGGGGGGGGTAGTTTGTGGGGAGGCCACTGGATAGCTAGGAGGATGAACTCCGGCAAGAATGAAAATCACTCATACCTCGGATACCATCTTCTGTTCTAAGGCATAATCCTGAAAGTGAGCGTAAATTTAATGCAATGTTACGCACTGCCCCACCCCCAAATTCCCGGAGCAAACACGTGGCGCTGATATCTGGCTCCCGTCGATTAAGAGGGGGCAGACTGCTCACGTGAGCTCTTCCAACCTAATTTTGCAAGGACTTCTTCTTTTGAAGTTAAGAACTCCGAGCCATTTCTTTGAATTTTCCTGCCTGTTTTAAAGATTAGTGCCGGATGGGGAGAGAGAGCGCTTGTGAGTCGGGTGTGTTCACGCACCCCAGATTGCCCCCCCCTCGCAATGCCACTCACTGGGAGATTGCGCATGCGCTACAGTCTGCGTTTGCACACATATAAATGCAGCTCGACGGAAAACAGAGCGATTTTGCAAGATAACCGGCAGCAATTACACTGCAATGATTTCGATAATACTCTTCTTGAAATTGACAAGCAGCCTCTGAATAATTTCCATCCTCTCGCGTGGCTCCTCAAAAGTTTGCTAAAGAATAGAAATGAAACATATTTCTTTGAAAAATTGCTCGAAAATCAGTATAATCAAAAACATACGTTAGAGATAAATTGGCCTTGAGGAAATGAGGTTTAAAAGTAGCTGTGGGAGACGGAAGGGAAGAAAGAGGTGGTTGAGGAGAGTTGTCATCACACAAAATCCGTCCCTAAACAGTAATTTCTTTTTGCAATAGAAGAAGCCGTGGGATGGGCCTTTTTGCTCAAACAAGGAAGAGAACTAAATGACTGTGAAATAGAAACTTCCACTGTTTGAATGTTTTAGCTATACATAGGCTCCCCCTCCTCCACTACAATTTAAGCAAAAATGATGATTACCCCTGAATGTTTTCCAAAACAGAAGAAACCAAGCTTCCTGCAAGGCATATAGAGACAACTCTATTAGACACATTTTCAATCCAGCTTTTTGATTTGTTTTATGCACATTTCATTCATGCACCAGCGTACAGGTAATCAAGAATTAGTAGTGGACGACATAGGGAGAAGGAAACACGGAATTATAAAAAGCAAGAAAAAGGAGTGTGGGTAGATGGACGTTTGATGAGGTCAAGTAAGAGCGTCGTGGTGAGAGTCAACATGAAAGATTGCTTCTAACCTAACCTCGAGACCAACTAAGTGTTGAGGAGTACCAAACGACGAGGTCGTATTTGCACTTTTTAGAAGGTTTAAGGTCATTTTGGTTGAAAAGCGCAAGTATTTTGTAAAAAATGGGATGATTATGTGGATGAAAATTTTCTTATGGGAGATATGAGGATTTTTTGAAATTAAAGAAAACTTTTCTATCAGCTGGCAGATTTTTGCAGATGAAACTAACCATAAATGCGGGAGTAGGTTAGCGTAGGGCTCTTCTAAGACTTGGTTGGGGCTCAACAAAGCGGGCTACGCATTTCGCAGTGTCCACCCGAAATTTGAGCAGTAAATGTGAAGATATGCTGTAGAGAAGAGCAGAGAAATCAGAGATTAAATTTTTTTAGAAAAAATCAATAAATCCATCTTCTAGATCAATTTCGAAATGTGAGAATTTCGCTTTAAGGAGAAACATGGTCTCCTTTTGGTAATGGGTTATACACCGGCGCATATAGATAGGATTCCGAGAACTACAGCAGATAGCTCACATTTGGATCTCCCCTGTTTTCAAGGCTCATCACTTTACTCTTTTTTCGAATAATAGGAAGACAGCAAGGTCCAAAAGTCCAAAAAATGATATGCAATGTTCTAAAAGTGTTCGAATGGGCTACAACATAGTTGAAGTGTCCAGCGTGTGTGTCAATACAGAAACTGGCTTGCAACAGTACGCTTCACTGGCAAATTGGCCTCCGTGGGGGCGATTTTTTCACAACAATGGAGTGGCTAGCCCGCAACAGCATAGGATAGCTAGTTCTCTAAGCGACCCCATAGAGACTGGCTGGCTATGTTTAGCCGGCGAAACATGCTGACCTACTGTAGACAACCGCTAGCTGTTCAAACACTTCGGACAACAATCATATTCGGAACGGAAATCGGAATAAAATTCAATATAGTGGTACTTCAATGACAACAAAGTTTCACTGAACGCCGAAGAATTCGACCATAGCGCGGATTAGTCGAAATTCCGGAGGATGTTTGGAGGTCGTCGGCCTCGGGCGGCGGCACTCGGTCAGCCGATCCACGTCGACGGGGGATTGGCGCCAGCCGGGGGTGTGGCCCAGCGGTTCACGAAAGAACTCGCGCCGGTTCGGTCGCCGTCGTCGTCGTCGTAGCGTTGTCGTCGGTTGCGCAAGAATTGGGCCGAGGTCACATGGGGGCTATTGCAGGAATTACCCACCCCTACCCGCCTCCTTGCCCTATAGCCCAAGGTTCCGAAATTCGAAATTGGTCTGAAGTCGACCATTTTCAGTAGGATGCGCAGGGTATCTGACTCCTCTACACTTTTTTGAGACTTTCGAACTCGAAAGGTCCTGATGTTCATTCACGGGGTTTTACTGACAGTGCTCCCCAGTTTCAGGTTTATCCCCGCCCATTAATCTGACAATATTTGACCTAACAACCTTTCATATGTAACTTGCTCAGTTTCAGGCCTATTCACACATTTGAGTTGGGCCCCCCGTGAACTGAAGAGCCTTCTTCCCCATGGGAAGCAATTACCTCCATAGGTCTATTATACATTTCTGAGGGGAAGACACCTCTTCCGTTGTGAGGTTTTCAACCTTTTTCACAACTGGGTTATGTAGTTACTCGAGATTCGCCTACAGACACCGCTGCGCCTCTACCCACCCGTCACCTTTGCGATCCGTGGCATACCCCGAGCAGTAGAGCTTTTTACCCCGCACAAGCCTCCGAATGGAGAAAGGCGATAAAAACGAGCTAGCACGCTGCATAGCGACCTTGAACTAAATTCCAGAAGCAAGAGATGAAAATGTGCCAAGGAACTGGTACAAAATGAGGTCTACGATCACCAATCAATAGTTACACAATCAACACAAACATTTGCTCCGCTTCTCAAAATCACATTTCGTATCAGATTCGCTAAACATGTCCCACAAAATCTGCTACGAATGCACTGAACACCTTTCTAGCAAGTGGGTTAACCCTACTTTGAAATTCCCCAAAAAAATTGCATTGAGTTGAGAGGGTCAAGGATCAAGCATTCCGCGTAATCAATCAGTTTTCGGGGATGTGCCATGCACTTCACGCCCACTTAGAATCGGCATTTGAATACGATGTGGCCTATAAATTGACTTGCGGGGTCGTCCGTGGTCATTTATGCTATCATTGTAAGTAAGAAAGATTTCCAAGCTGGGAAAATACGCTTTTCTAAGTCACCACAAAAAGATGTCCCATATGTCACACATGAAGGGCAACCACAACCGGTCCCGCGCCACAGATGAATCGAAACAAAAAGTGTCAACGTACTAATAAAAGTCGGACCTCATTCGAAATCGTTCGGGACTGAATCGAAAGGGAAACGTTTACCCGCTTACAGTACGCTTTTGAAAATTACCATCCTATAGAGGTGTCGAGTTAATCTATCCTACATGTGTTTCATGATTCCCTGGCTTCTG